CCCCTCTTTAAACTTGCCGTGTAGACATGCAATCCCGTCAACCAGGCCGTCCTCGACCCTGCGCCGAGATCCTCCGAGGAATAGGTAGAAGCCACCCGCCCAAACGCGCCCCCCCATAACTGCCGCGCATATTTTGTGCGAGGCGAAGAAAATTAAGCGCCGACCAGAACGAATGCCACTGCGCGACCCCTGGATGGCGCCCCGTGCGCGCTGACAGCCATCAGAACGCGGGCCTAGCCGCGGGGGGGTGCGAGCGGCAGGAGAAACGCTGCGTCTCCAATGCCAGGATGACTGGAGGGGGGCCGAGGCGCGGGGCAACGATGACCAACCGCTCCCAGAGAAACTGGTTGTGCAAACTTGCGAAGTCCAAGATCCCAAGGCCGTGTTCGATCCGTGTAGTTTGGCTGCGACCTCAACGTCCAGCACCCGCGTGGGTGCTTCGACCAAATGAGAAATGCCTTCTGCAGCTGTGCCCCACTCCGGTGTAATCTCCCTAGAACGCCGCTCGGGATATGTCTTCCGAGTCGAGCCCTAGAGCCGGCTAAACATCCAATTTCCCAATCGCACGGCCTCCGGCAATTTTTGCTGGCAGAAGGCGCCCTAACGCCGCCAATAACTGCCGCGGCCGCGTGCCCGAACTCTCGATCTCACTGGAGATGCCTGCAAATTCCTCGAGCGGGACGTCGGGCGACCGTCGGCTCCGGGGCGCTCGCGAGGTTCCATCACCTTACTGGCTGCTTGCAATTCATCAGCAGCGGCGGGGGTAAATTGCGGCTGGCTCGAGGGCGCAACAAACATCTGGAGCCGAGTCGACGTCGGCAGGCTGGGGGGCCCATGTCTAACGATGCTGCGTACTTTGGGCATTTGCGACATCTCCGGGCTGAGAGAGCCGCCGCCCGTCGACGCTGAGCTCATCGGGCGCCGGCGGGCAGCTCGAGGGCAGCGATGCGCTGCGCCGAGCGAAGATTCTCGCGCAATCCAATCTCGCAGCTCGCGAAGCGAGGCTTCTGGGCTATCCTGCCAACATGAATGTGCGTCTCTTCCAGCGCGCACACGTTGACTGCGCCGGTGTCGCGCGCGCTGTTGCCACTTCGCCCAGGGCAACCTGCGCTTCCCAAGACCAATGAGCATCGCAACCTCGCGAGGAACATCGAGTCCGGGTGCGCGTGCTACACTCGCGCGAGATACCCCACTTGCAGCGCTCCCGCGCCCCCGCGTCGCCGCCTGCACGGGGGCGCCTCGGAGGTGGTCAGATTTGTTAACAAAATGCACTGCGTACCGCGGGCCATGCGCTCTAGAAGCTCCTGGATGTCGATGTTTCCCATGGCGTTGACTGGTGCCCCGTCGAGCGTTTTCACCCAATAACTGTAAAGACCACTAGCAGGTGCAATATCCTTGCCACCCGCGCAGAAATCCCCATCCTTGATCGCTGGCAATGCGAAGCCCAACCTCGTGCGGTGTTCCTGCCAGAGGGACTGCGGGTCCTGGGGGGAGGGGGTCTCAAGGGCGCCTGCCGCGCCTTCGGGGCCCCCTTCGGCCTCGCATGCACGCCCGCCAGTGCGTTGGGGTCGGGTGACTGAACGTAGATCGCTACCTAAAGACTCCACAGGCTCACTGGGCTGGGCACGCGTATTTCCAACGCGGGCTCAGACCAGCTAGCCTGGCGGGTCCGAGTGTTGGGCTCTTCACCCCAAACCTCAGACTGCTCCTGAAACTTGGGTGGGGTCCTCGGGATCCTCCTGGGCGCCCCCAGTGGTTCCTGATTCCACTGAAGAAGCCCCGTCTGAATCTCCGACATATGCGTGACAGGCTTCGGCGAATTTGAGATTGAAAGCGAAGCACGGTTCCTGCTTGGACAGCTGAGCTAGCTGAGCTTGCTGCGACTTGCCGCCAGGCTTGGGCGCGCACGCGGGTGGGGCGGGGTTGTTTGTGTGTGTGTGTGTGTGTGTGTGTGTGCGTGTGCGTGAGCGTGCGTGCGTGCGTGTGTGTGTGTGTGTGTGTGCGTGTGTGTGTGTGTGTATATGTGTTTGTGTGTGCGCGTGCGTGCGTGCGTGTGCGTGCGTGCGTTCGTGCGTGCGTGAATGTGCGTGTGTGTGTGCGTGCGCGCGCGTGTGTGTATGTGCGTGTGCATGAGAGAGAGAGAGAGAGAGAGAGTGTGTGTGTGTGTGTGTGTGTGTGTGTGTGTGTGTGTGTGTGTGTGTGTGTGCGTGCGTGCGTGCGTGCGTGTGCGTGCGCGCGTGCTTGCGCGCGCGTGTGCGCGCGTGCATGCGCGCGTGGTGAGCGAGAGAGAGAGAGAAGAGAGAAGAAGAGAGAGAGTGAGAGAGAGAGAGAGAGAGAGAGAGAGAGAGAGAAGAGAGAGAACAACAAAAGAGAACAATAGAGAAGAGAGAGAGAGAGAGAGAGAGAGAGAGAAGAGAGAGAGAGAGAGGAGAGAGAGAGAGAGAGAGAGAGAGAGAGTAGAGAGATAGAGAGAGAGAGAGAGAGAGAGAGAGAGAGAGAGGAGAGGAAGAGAGAGAAAGAGAGAGCGAGAGAGAGAGAGAGAGAGAGAGAGAGAGAGAGAGAGAGAGAAAAGAGAGAGAGGAGAAAGAGAGATAAAGGGAGAGAACGAGAGAGAGAGAGAGAGAGGAGAGAGAGAGAGAGAGAGAGAGAGAGAGAGCGTGCGTGCGCGCGTGCGCGTGCGTGCGCGCACGCGCGCGCGTGGGCGCGCGGGCGGGGGGGGGGGCGAGCCGCGGCAACTTGGGCGGTGAGACGGGCGGGCGAGTCACCAGCGGGGGGCCTTCGCCCCTCAGTTCGGCCTGCAAGCCACTGCGCGTGCCCCGCGGGGCAGGGGTGGCAGGTTGTATGTGCTAGATGCTGGGGCAGAGCGACTTGGTCGCCACCGTGAAATACATGTTCGAACGACCAGTGCCAGCGACGCAAATTTGTTCTATCTCTGAGCAACAAACCACCCCGTCGACCTTGGAAGTGAGCCCGCACTTCGCTGAGGTTCGGGGCGGCTACCTGAAACCCCCTGCAACGGCCCGCTGGGCCTAGAGCGATCGGAATTCTCGCTTGGGGTGCCGAATGAAACTGCCTGCCCATGGCCCTCAACTAAAAGAAGTTCTCCTCGTTCTCCACTAGTGCCTGGCGAAATGCTGTCGCCAGGGCTGGCTGCGTTAACAAGACGTGAGTTTGGCTGATCTGAACTTGCTGGGCCCCTCCGCCTGCTGTTGAGCAAACTTGGGAGCTTCTGCTGCGGCGCTGCGCTGACGCTGCCCCCTCACCGCCGTGGAGCTGAAATACTCCCAGGCCTTCTGGCCTAAGCGCAAAAGGTTACAGAATAAAGGAACTGGTCGGCGAAGGCTGGTCGCACTTTTGGGCGTCACCTGCCGGGGCAGCAAACCCCTCCCTACTAGACGACAGGGCAGCCGACGAAGAACCGGCCTGTCTCGTAGATGCAGAGGCGTGTCCAGTGCAGGCTCGCCTCCGCCAGCGCTGCCTCGCGCTGTGGCCGCGGGCGCTGGGGCCTCCGCAGCCCTCTGCTGCTTGACGAGCTCGGCGGCGCGGAACTTGGCCTCCGACAGCCCCTACGCCTCCCTCTCGATGTTCTCTGGGATGGGCTGATGGCTGCCGTCGGCTCTGGCCTGGCCAGCTGGCGCAGCCGTCGCCTGGGCTGCCGCAGGTGCTTCAGCCGCCGATGCCGCGCTCGCGGCGCCGCCCTCGCTGGCGTGGCCTGCGCCTGGCCTGCGGCCGCCTCCATCTGCACGACGCTTAGGGTCTGCATCCAATTCTGGATCGTGGGCACGCGCTGCTTCCACTCGTCGCTCTTGGAGCCCCCTCTCCTGCAGACTGGCTTTGGTTTCTTTCGACTCGGCCTCGATCTTACGAAGCTCGGTCTTCTCTGCCTCCTCGCAATCCAGCTGGTCCAGGGACGCGAACAAACAACTTCTGCCAAATGATGTCGAAGCCCACCTCGCGATTCATCTGCTGCTGCAGGTCGGCGGTGGACGCTGTCCCCACTCCAGCTTCATAAGTTATAAGCAAAGTATTGTGACAGCCGCTTTCTTCGGGTACCCAGCATTGCCCAATGCCTTGGCCGCCTCCCTCTCCTTCTCTTCCTCTCGCTGCCAATTCCTTCTGAGCTGCATGACCTGGCTGACTGGTTGCTCGTATTTGCTCGCTGCGTCCCTCCAGGCGGCCAACACCCTGCTCATGACCTCATCAGCGGTGACCTTCTTCCAAGGGGGCTTCAATGCCGTGATGGACAGCATTTGCTCCAACAAGACCTTCTTGATGCAGAGGTCGCTGGTGCTGGCGAGCATCTAATACAACAGTGATTTCAACTGGGCAACGCCTTCTGTGGTACTCGTCGTTGTCCTTTGCCCGACGTGACTCCACCATGACTGACAACTGTTGCAGCACTTTCACTGCTGATGCCACTTGCCTTGCTGCTGTCCTTCTTCGGACGGTCTATCTTCACCGAGCGCCTGCACTTCGCATACTGATTGCCGCGCGCAGCCAAAACATCGTGATACTCGTGCGGGTGACAGCCCGCGCATGCAGACCAATGGCGAAGGCTGCTTGCATTGCGTGCCACCCCCTGCTTAAAGCATTCGGAGCAAGTGCCCTACGTGTATCGGGCGGGCGGCCGGCCGTCCTCCAGGCGCCGCGTGGCGGCGCCAGGGCTGGTTCAAGGCGATCAATAACTGGTGGCTCGAGCCAGAATTGCCTGAGGGAGGGAGGAGGGGGAGCAGGGAGACTGGTCAGGGGGAGCAAGGAAAATTGTGAGGGGGAGCAGGGAGAATGGTGAGGGGGAGCAGGGAAAATTGCGAGGGGGAGCAGGAGGAGGAGGAGGAGGAGGAGGAGGAGCAGGAGGAGGAGAGGAGGAGGAAGGAGGAGGAGGAGGAGGAGAGGAGGAAAGGAGGAGGCGGAGGAGGGGAGGAGGAGAAGGAGGAGGAGGAGGAGGAGGGAGAGGAGGAGAGAGGAGGAGGAGGAGGAGGAGGGAGGAGGATGGTGAGAGTGGGGGAGGGAGGGAGGAGGGAGAAATGGTGAGGGGGCGCAGGGCATGTCAGACCAGGATGGGGTCTCCCCTACTCGGCCTCCTGGTGGCCGCCCTGCTCCCGGCGTATCGCCCTCTCCACCACCTGGGCGGCGGCAGGGCACGCGGGGCTCAGCGGGCGCGGGCGCGGCGGCAGGGCGGGCCGCCAGAGCGGCACACCACGTGGAGTAGGCGAGCTTTTCCCCCCCCTCCTCCTCCTCCTCCTCCTCCTCCTCCTCGTGCTCCTCCTCTTCCTCCTCCTCCTCCTCCTCCTCCTCCTCCCCCCTCCTCCTCCTCCTCCCTCCCTCCTCCTCCTCCTTCCTCCGCCTCCTCCTCCTCCTCCTCCTCCTCCGCATCCTCCTCCTCCTCCTCCTCGGCGCGGGCGCGGCGGCAGGGCGGCCGCCAGAGCGGCACACCACGTGGAGTAGGCGAGCTTTTCCCCCCCCTCCTCCTCCTCCTCCGCCTCCTCTCCTCCTCCTCCTTTCTTCTCCTCCTCCACCTCCACCTCCACCTCCATCCTCCTCCTCCTCCTCCTCCTCCTCCTCCTCCTCCTCCTCCTCCTCCTCCTCCTCCTCTCTCCTCTCCTCCTCCTCCTCCTCCTCCCTCCTCCTCCTCCTCCTCCTCTCCTCCTCCTCCTCCTCCTCGTCCTCGTCCTCGTCGTCCTCGTCCTCGTCCTCGTCCTCCTCCTCCTCCTCCTTCTCCTCCTCTCTCCTCCTCCTCCTCTCCCTTCTCCCTTTCCTCCTCCTCCTCCTCCTCCTCGCCTCCCTCCTCTTCCTATTCCTCCTCCTCCAGCTCCTCCCTCCCCTCATCCCTGCCTCTGCCCCCCGCGTGTACATTACGGCACACCGCTCACATGCTCGTGGCCCCAGAGGGAGCTCCACCGAAAGCTCCAATGGCGGTTCTCGCATGCGTCCCCCGCGCCCGTCTCGGCACACCCATCACACTTTCGTTCCTTTCACCTCTTCCTCGCTCCTTCTCCCTGTCCTCTTCCCTTTCCTCCTCCTGTTCCTCCTCTTACCTCCTCCTCCTCCTCCGTCATCCTCTCACCTGCTCGTCTCACCTCCTCCTCCCTCCTCCTGCTCCTGCTCCTCCTCCTTACGTGGGCAGCCGAAACGGCACACAGCGTGGACGAGGGGAGCGCCTGCAGCCAAGCTGCTGTGGTCGGTATCCTTTGCCCAGCGCGTCGCGCCCCCCGTCGACACGCTACGCGCTGCGAACCGATGGTGTGTCGCTCCGCTCCGCGGGTGTGTCGCTCCGCTCCGCGGGCTGGGCTCCGCTCCGCGGGCCGTTGACGCCTGGGGCTCGGGACTTGGTTGGCGTGTCGTGCCGAAGCGTGGTGGGCCAGAACCGGCAGCGCGACACCCCGAGCAAACGCTCCCGACCGTACCGCAAGGAACGCTAGCTGAGGAACGAAGCAAATCAGAAGCGCCTGGGATTAGGTCGGGCATGTCTTTGAAACATGAAAAACAATAAAACAATAACCGAATATCATGTCAAACAAATTTCTTCCTGTAGACTATGTTTCGACTATTTTTCGCCATACTATGTTTCGACTATTTTTGACTTTTCCTCCTGTAGAGGGACAGGCCCGATTTAAGCCTGGGTGCGCAACAAACCATCGATGAACAACCATGGCATGGCCCAAGGAGCAGCGAGGCCATTCCGAACCCGAACCGCTCCTTGTTTCAGCGCCTTGCGCTTACAGTAGGGGCCCTTACACAAGAAACCTTCCACGATCATCCCAACTCTGATACCCCTGGACGTCAATCGTTTGTTGGTGGGAACGTCACGCCTTCTACAGTAAAACCATCGGAACCCAAGAAAACCAGGGCACCCTGGAGGCAAGCAGGGTGTTCCTTGGCACGGGTCCCCGCTGTACGCGCGCTCCTGCGCAGGCACCCGGCGCTTGAGGGTCCGCGCGCGGTCGGGCACATCTCGTGCGCCGCTTGCCATTGGCCAGAACCACCCCGACACGGTTCCGCAGAGCACCCCATCCTCTGCGGAGGTACCGCTGAGGAGAGGAGGAGCAAGATGGACCGAGGAGGCAATGATGCAAAGGGCACCCTGTGGAAAGTTGCCCATCCTCGCTGTGCGGGTGGACTGCAAGGGACGACCCGCTCCCGTCCAGAAGCGAAGTCGTCGGGCATCAAGGGCCCGGGTGCTTGCAGTGCCCCCGCGCCAAGGGCGCGCCAACGACACCAACACACGAGGGGGGACCTGCCGAAGAACCTCTCCAGAAGTCCCTCCATGTCTCTGGGGAGGGCCCCGGAGAGACCCAGAAACGCGCAAACGTGCCCACAGCTTCGAGCTCGACATCGACCCAGTCTAGTTCCCAAACGCCCTGTGGTGTTGGGTCCTCGTTGTGAGGAAACAGCGCCCCGCATCCCTCCTCCTCCTCCTCCTCCTCCTTCCCCTCCTCCTCCTTCCCCTCCTCCTCCTCCTCCTCCTCTTCCTCCTCCTCCAGCTCCTCCCTCCTCCCATCCCTGCCAACTGCCCTCAACATGTACAGGACGGCACACACACACACACACACACGCACCTCACACGCTTCGTGGCCCATGGGGAGCTCCACCGAAGGCTCCAGTGGCAGTTCTCGCATACGTCCCCCGCACCCACTTCGGCACACTCGTCACATGTTTGGTGGCCTCATAAAGACCTCCACCGAAGGCCTCAATGGCGGTTCTCGCATGCGTCTCCCGTGGTCACACCCCCCGCACGTGTCGTGGCCCCATGGGGAGCCGAACCGAAGGCCCCAGAGGCAGTTCCCGCATGCGTCTCCCGCACCCTCTTCAGCACACCTCTCACACGTTTCGTGGCCTCATAGGGAAATCCACCGAAGGCCCCAGTGGCAGTTCTCGCATGCGCCACCCGTGCCCATGTCGGCACACTCTTCACACGTGTCGTGGCCCCATGGCGAGCCGCACCCAAGGCCCCAATTGCGGTGCTCGCATGCGGCCCCCGCACCCATTTCGGCGCACCCCTCACACGTTTCGTGGCCCCACAAGGAGCTCCACCGAAGGCCTCACTGGCGGTTCTCGCATGCGTTCCCCCCACGCCCATTACGGCACACCCCTTACACGTTTCGTGGCCTCACAGGGACCTCACCGAATGCCCCAGTGGCGGTGCTCGCATGCGTAACCCGCATCATTTTCGACACACCCCTCACACGTTTCGTGGCCTCATGGGGAGCCTCACCGAAAGCTCCAGTGGCGGTGTTCACACACGTCCCCCGCACCCATTGCGGCACACCGCTCGCATGCTTCGTGGCCCCATAGGAAGCTGCACCGAATGCCCCAGTGCCTGTTCTGCCATGCGCCCCCCGCGCCCATTCGGGCACACCCTTCGCACGTCTCGTGGCCTCCTAGGGAGCTCCACCGAAGGCCCCACTGGCGGTTCACGCATGCGTCCCCTCCACGCCCCACGCCCATTACGGCACACTGCTCGCACGTTTCGTGGCCCCATAGGGAGCTCGACCGACGGCCGCAATTGCGGTTCTCGCATGCGTCCCCCGCGCCTAGTTCGGGGTACCCATCACACGGCTCGTGGCCCATAGGCAGCCCCACCGAAGGCCCCACTGGCGGTTCCCGCATGCGTTCCCCCCACGCCCCACGCCCATTACTGCATACCGCTCGCACGTTTCGTGGCCCCATAGGGAGCTCCACCGACGGCCGCAGTGGCGGTTCTCGCATGCGTCCCCCGCGCCCATTTCGGGGTACCCATCACACGGTTCGTGGCCTATAGGCAGCTCCACCGAAGGCCCCAGAGGCTGCTCTCGTGCGCCCCCTGCACCGATCTCGGCACACCCCACACACGACTCGTGGCCCCATAGGGAGCCTCACCGGAGGCCCCAATATCAGGAATCGCACGTGTGACCGCGCCAAGTTCGGCGCACCCCTCACACGTTTCACGGCCTCACCGAGAGCTCCACCGAAAGCCACAATGGCGGTTCTCGCACGCGTCCCCTGCGCCTCTTTCGGCACACCCATCACAAGTTTCGTTGCCGCAAAAAGATCTCCACCGAAGGGAAGGCCCCAGTGGCGGTTCTCGCGTGCGTCCCGCGCACCGATTGCGGCACACCCTTCACACGCTTCGTGGCCCCATGGGGAGCTCCACTGAAGGCCCCAGAGGCGGTTCTCGCATGCGTCCCCCCCACGCCTATCATGGCACAGCCCTCATACATTTCATGGCCACTTAGGGAGCTCCACCGAAAACGATGCTCACAACTGCGTTACTTACACTTACATTTAGGTCGGGTATGCCCTCCTAAAAGCGGATTTTAAAAGACAAATGAAACCACACAAAAGTATGACAAAACATTCAAACATAGTCAGAAGAGCACGACTAATCGCCCCCAGACTATTTTGTTACGATCTTCGGCTATTCCTCCTATAGAGGGACATGCCCGACTTAAAACTACATATGGTTGGGTCCTTCGCCAGGTTAATTTTTGTGTTGCGTCGCTTACCTGGAACGCCTGCTCGATGGAATTGCTGTCCGGGCTCGCCGTGGAGACGAACATACCGATGCCCCCGCTGTCCCTTACGACGCCGCACAGGTCGTCGAGCCCCGGGCAGCGCTCGGCGACGGCGATCGCGAGCAGGTTCACCCTGCCACCAGCGGCCTCGAAGAACTCCTTGCACCTCGGCGGGATCAAGGATGGTAAGTCTTCGAGCTGCTTGGAGCTATCTTGGAGGTCTCGTGGACAGTCTTGGGCGGTCCGAAGCTCAAACGGACGCGAATCTACTTTAACGGAAAAATGCAGGAGCATCCTTGCTTTTTGCATCCTCGGGCTGCCCTGGCCTTGGAGCCCTCCTAGGCCGTCTTGCGAGCCTCTTGGGCCGTCTTGATCGTTCCCACGAAGATCTTCTGGGAGTTGTCTCCAGCGCTTTGTCGCGCCCCGCGAGGAGGGGGGGGGTGCGAAGGCGAAACGCATATCCGTATCCGCGGCCTCGCGGGCCTGGCGGTGTTGAGACTGGGGTGTTGAGACTGCCCCGGGATCATTCTCGTGGGGCCTGTTGAGGCCGGCCGGGGCCACCTGGGGGGGGGGCTGTCTGCGCAACCCGAGTCCTTACGAGCAAAGGATCTGGCATTCTTGGCCCGCCAGAAGGCCCCATGGGGGCCTCTGGGGACCTCCCGGGGCGCCTGGGATTCCCCCCTCGAGCAGGACGAAGCCAGGATGAGGACAGCTTGGGATCAGTCGGGAATTCCACGGGGCCGACCGGCAACGTTCGGGCCCAGAGACTGCATCGGGGCGGAGGCGGCTCCAGCGCGCTCCAGAGAGCTCTCCCGAGAAGCTCTCCCGACCGCCCTGGAGCGATCTGCCATCCTCCCAGGCATGCCTGGCTGAGGCTTTTGTTGCTCCCATCGTGCTGAAGGACCACATCCCAGAACTGGTTTCGAGCACCCGGAAAAGTGTCGAAAAAGTGACGGAACAGAGTCGGACGAGTGGTTCCCAGGGCCCGGCACGTGAAAACCCTCGAGCTTCGGTGCTTTGTTTGGTGCTCGAAACTCTTTCTGGTGCTTAAGGCTAAAGTAGGTTGGCACATCCTAAGCTGAGGTCGGCTGCACGCAAGAGTGACCCTGGGTAAGAGTGACCTTTGGTGCGCGGATTCTTGGGAATCGCGTGGGGGGCCAAACACCATCGAGCAAGACACTGCCACCGCGGCGCGTTCGGCGATCGGGGGACCCCAGTGGGCCCGCACCACAGGTCACTCCGGCGAAGGGCCACTCTTACGTGTAGTCGATGAGGCACCCCCTCGTCGCCGAGCTGGTCGCCCTACCTGCGCTGGGGGGGCCCCTCTGGCACTGCGGCTTCGGCTCCCGCGCGGGCCGCGGGCGGCGGGCCCCAGCGGCGCGCTCTTGCCTTCTCGCATGCCGCCGGCCGTGTGCCGACGTGGAGGCCGCCCGGCGGCCTGGGGGGCAAGCCTGCGCGGGCACCCCAGAAGCGGCGGTGGGCAATTTTGCGGTGTGGGTTTGCTGTGCAGTTCCGTGCAGTGACGGGCCGGGTACACCATATGACGTATCCGCATGTGATGCTATGCCCTGACGTTACGTGTGGGGCCGGGAGGGACCGCTCCTGAACAACGGTCGCCGCAGCTCCTCGAGTTGCATGGTGTCCTCAAAGGCCTACGGATTGGGGACACAGCCTGGTTCTACCCCAACCTCCCTTTAAGGAAACCTCCCTGTCGTGAAAACGGCCTGGGACCGAAGCCGACGGAGCTGGACCCGCACAAATGACGGCCGCGGCGCCCTCTCGCGAACCGAGAGCGGCCCATTCGCTACTCGACGCGTCAGGGTAGGAGGTCTGTCCACCTCCGACAGAGGGCCTCCGCTCTGGAGAACCCCGCGGAGGCCTCCAGAGGATCGAGCACCCCCCAAGCCGCAAGCACACAAGCCTCGAGGAACTGGATCCGCCTCGCCCTGCGGCGGGGGGGGGCGGCCGCCCCAGAAGCGGGGGGGGAGGGAGGCCCCGCCCTGGGCTCACCTCTGCGGCGTCGTGCCCGTCGAGTCCTCCCCGTCGGTGAGCACGATGAGCCACAGGCCGGTGCTGTCTGACGCTCCCTCGCGCAGCATCTCGGCCCCCCAGAGCAGCGACTGGAAGAGGGCCGTGCCCCCCCCGAGCTTGTCGATGAGGCCGTCTATCGTCCTGTTCCGGGCCAGGTCCGCCACGGCCTGGCGATGCTCCGGCGTGGCCTCGGCGTCCCCCCCCCCCCAGAGGGGCCGCAACGGCGGTGCTCGCATGCGGCTCCCCCGCCCGGGACGGCGTTCTGTGGCCCCATACCCGGAGATCTGATGTCGCGATTTTTTCAATGCGGGGTCCCCGGAAGTCTCGACCCCTGCCCCAAGACCGGTTTTGCATCCTGAGTCGTTTTTTCACGGCCCCGGGGCCCGGCGAGGGCCCCTCGAGGCCGAAAATTGCGGAACACCTCCGTCTTGATATTTTCAATGCGTTGGATCTCTGGGACAGAACGGCGTGCTTCGCGGCCACATCGGGAGCCCCACCAAAGGCTTCAGTGGCGGTGCCCGCAGGCGGCTCCCCCACGGCCGGGCGGCGTGGCGCCCCGCGCGCGAGAAGGGGGGGCCCCGGGACGGGCAGCCCCGGGGCCCTGAGGCAGGCCTCCGGCAGCCTGCTCCCAGTCCCATGGGGGCTTCTGCACGCTGACCCGGCGTTGCCACCAGGCAGAACGGATGATGAAGATGAAGATGAAGATGAAGATGAAGATGAAGATGAAGATGATGATGATGATGATGATGATGATGATGAGGATGATGATGATAGTGATGATGATGATGATGATGATGAGGATGAGGAGA